TATTAATTGGACCAATATATTTTTCTTAATATAATTCATATATACTTTTTATTTAAGATAAACTACTTATTTGGTCATTCACTAATTACTTAGTTTATGTTTTGGTCAATCAATATTATTTATTTCAAAATCATACATAATCTTACGTTTTGGTTTTGTTTTTATCACCTACCGTTAAAATAATAATAATGATGCTAATATGATATTTCGTATTATTTTTCAATCTTGAAGTAGCATTATGATGATACGTCATGTTACCGTTAATTTTTTAAAGATAAGTGACCAAAATATAATCAAATGTAACATTAGATGCGATTTAAAATAAATATTAGTTGAATTATTAAAATATAAATTAAATAATAAGTTAGCAACTAAATAAATAATTTATTTTTTTTAAATATAGGTTGGGTCATGATCCAAGTAGGTCCTAGGCTTATATACGCCTCGGATTAAGATTTATGATTTTCATGCTAAATGTCATGGGGCTAGATTGTCGACTAGTTGGTCCGTGCGGCCCTTAGATGTCTCGCTCGGTTGCTCGACGTCTAAGTCAGCCTAAAATCCTCGGTTATTGTTGCTATAGCGATAAGAACGATAGAAAAGCATTGAAAAATGTAAGTAAGTGTGTTTGAGAAAGTTTTTTGTCTGAATGCCTGAGTTTATTCACACCAAATTCTCTATATCCAATGGAGGTGGGGAGACCTCATTTTATAATTAAGTCCCCTTACATCTCATGACTACTCCTAGTCTAACTATAAGTAAAACTCTTTACTTTAGTTGAAACTCTAATACTTGAGTCCTATTCGAACAAGGACTATGCTACCTGGCTTTATTTTCCAAGTAATTGTCGACCTTGCTATGTGGACAGGCCCTAAGTTGGTGCTGGCCTTGGCCCTCGGTGTGCGTAGGCCTCGGCCCTGTGTACCCCCGATGTGTGTTGCCCTCGCCCTCAAGTGGCCCTCTTTGTGTGTTCATATTAATTAGAGGCGCACATCCGGTGTGCGTTGGCCCTGACCCCTAGTGCGTCCCTTTACTTGCTGGCTAGAGCCTTTGGCTGACCTTGTCGTGCGTTGGCCTCGACTCTAGGTATACCTTGGTGTGCGATGGCCACGACCCTAGGTGACTCTTGTTGTTTGATGGTCGTGCTTGTGGGTAGTTCGGGCAGGCATGTCTTAACCCTACTCGACCTTTGTGGGCTGTCTAGGCTACATCTGTCGCACCATGATGGGTGTTGGTCTCGGCACCACAGCGGGAGCGGCCTGCCTTGTGCTGGTTGCGGCCCCACGGGTAGTATGTTATGGGTCGACCTTGCCCACAAGTTCACGGCCTGTGATATTCCCCCCACTTGTTCTAGCAATACCCTCATCGCTAGGTTTGTTTTGGCTTGCTTTGTCGCTATAAAAGTAGTTCCCAAGGTGGTATTCACATTTTTTGGAGCATTCTTGACATGTTGAATAACTATTAAGGTCCTGGTCTCTTCTTGATCATTTTATATCAACGGGACACTACCTTGCCATCGGGAATCCATGATGCTCATGACATTTACATAGGGAATGATAAAGGCTTTGATCCGGATAAGGAAGTTCAACTCGATGACAAAATCAAAATCATCAATGGGGATTATCATGAAGTCTACATTGTCATTTCATCCTCCAATCTTCAATTTTACCTTCCGTGCCATTCTAATAATTGTAACTTCTTTAGTGTTGATGGTCTTGATTAATCCCTTTGATGGTTCAATTTCGAGTCCAAGATCGTCGGTGACCCTTTTTTATATGAATAAATCAGTTTCCCCAGTATCCAAGAAGGAAACTCCAGATTGTCTGGCAAGATTGATGTTCACGCACATTAATCATTGTTTTCGGTTTTGATGTTGTGTGACTTGGACTGGATAATTTTGTACCCTTTGTGGTCCCCTTCCTTGGTGATCATTTCGTTGCTTAAAACTTACCCTCGGCTTAACATTTGTAATTGAGCTAAGTTTACATATTTCTCCCTCTGAATCGTTTTCTTCCTCGGCAATGGCTGCGAGTTTTTTAGTGTGGGGGCAATCTCTTGCAAAGTGTCCTGGTTCATGGCAATTGAAGCAACAGATTGATTAGATGTCTCGCTTCTTTTTTGACTTGTTACGTCGGTAGCATCTGGCTTTTGTAGGCTCCTCATCATCACTTGATAGGCTTTGTTATTGGCATTTATCTTGGTTTCTCTTACTAGGACCCTTGACTTTTGATTTGGGAGGCTTGGGTTTCTTAACACCAAGTTCGTTGAGGGATTCGGCGGTTGTCAAGGCTTTAGACAATTCTTTGACACCCATTCTTTCCAACTCATTTTTGGCCCATAGCTTTAATCTGTCCATGAAGGTGAAGAACCTGTCATCTTCGGTTAGGCTCAAGACTTGTAGGCTTAACTCGAAAAATTGTCGAACGTGCTCCCTTAGAGAGCCTTCTTGCCTAAGACGCCTTAGTTTTGATCGTTTATCATTCTTGACATGATAAGGGTAAAATTATTCTTTGAACTCAGCTTGGAATTCTACCCAGGTTCCAATGGTGGTGCCATCTCGTTTCATCTCGGTGTATTTACTTCTCCACCATAAGAGTGCTAAATCAGTTAAGTAAACAGAAGCAATGTTTACTTTCTCAATATCATTCTCAATGCTTATGGCTCGAAAGTTTTGATCCATGTTCTACATAAAATTTTAAACGTCTTTGAGTGACCTAGTCCCTTTACACTTCTCTAGTTTAGGGACTTCAGCCTGGCTTTTGGGGGCGTTGGTTAGTATGTCACCAACCACAAAAGTCTTATACAAGGCCACATCGGTCTTGGGTTGCTCGATCTCCTTCTTTAGGTTTTCAACCTCGGTTCCGGATCCCTGGTTTTTAAGTTCTTCGACCTCTTGTGTTAAGGTCAAGATTTGGGCTTCCAAAGCATTATCTTGTTGGGAACTCTTCGCATCTAATCCGTTGAGTGTAGTCTGCACATCCTCATGGAACTCTTCGCGTTGCGAGTCTCGATGCCCTCGGATGCTACTGCCTCGCCACTGAAGTCATCTCGTTTATTCACGAACCTGGCTCTGATACCACTTATCACGGGGTTGGACTATCGGCTAGATGGTCTATGCGGCCCTTAGACGTCTCGCTCAATTGCTCGACATCTAAGTTAACCTAAACTCCTCGGTTATTGTTGCTATAGCGATAAGAACGATGAAAAAACATTGAAAAACGTAAGTAAGCGTGTGTGGGAAAGTTTTTGGCCTGAATGTCTGAGTTTATTCACACCAAATTCTCTATATCCAATAGAGGTGGGGATACCTCCTTTTATAATTAAGTCCACTTACATCTCCTGACTACTCTTAGTCTAACTACAAGTAAAACTCCTTACTTTAATTGAAACTCTAATACTTGAGTCCTATTCAAACAAAAACTACGCTACTTGGCTTTATCTTCCATCAGTGTGCGCAGGCCTCAACCCTGTGTGCCCTCAATGTGTGTTGCCCTCGCCCCCAAGCGGCCCCCGTTGTGCGTTCATATCGGTTCTAGATGCACACCTGGTGTGCGTTGGCCTCAACCCCGAGTGTGTCCCGTTGCTTGCTGGTTAGAGTCCTTGGCTGACCTTGTCCTGCGTTGGCCTCGGCTCTAGGTACACCTTGGTGTGCAGTGGTCACGACCCTAGGCGACTCTTGTTGTTTGATGGTCGTGCTTGTGGGTAGTTTGGGGCGAGCGTGTCTTGACCTTATTCGACTCTGTGTGCTCCTTAGTCTCGGTGTGACCCTTGTGGGCTGTCTGGGTTGCGTTTGTCGCACCCTAATGGGTGTTGGTCTCGACACCACATCGGGAGCGGCCTGCCTTGTGCTGGTTGTGACCCCACGGGTAATATATTATGAGCCGACTTTGCCTACAAGTTCGCAGTCCGTGACACTAAACATCATAACAGTCGGTGAAAAAAATGTATATTGATGAAATTATTTGATGACATTTTCCATCGGTTAAATTTGGTTATTATAATTTATTTTTTCAATTAGTATAATTTTAAAGGGGACAAGACAATAATACCTATCCAAGTTCATCTAGAAAACCATGTACAATCATTATTCTTAAACACACTCCCATTTTTCAAATGAATCTTCAATGTGATCCGATCATGATCTATGTGGTAAGATAATTGGAAGAGTCCTCTTACAAAGCAAACCTTGGGTAATGTGAATTACGTTAATTTGATCTAATTAGAAGTTAAAAAGTACCAAGAAACTCAAAAGAGGTGGTAACAAGCTTTAATTTTTTGCCTGATCCCTCAACCATCTCTCTTTGGTCATTGTCCAACATTATAGCTTCAGATTCGAGTTAATAAGAGGTCTTCCACTCACATTCACATATCCCCAAAACCCAGGAAGCATCGAAGAATGAAGTGGTGATTTTATATTAAATGGATAGCACAGTTAAAATTGATGATCATATTACTGAGATCAACAAAAACAAAGGCCACCACGTTTATCAATGCAACCATCGTCCAACCAAATGCTTTTACTCCTTAAGCACCCTCTCCTAGAAACCAAAATTTGCCTCAACCTCGAGTTTCCATGCCCTTCACACTTCACATAGCTTTTATTATTATCTGTGTTAAAGCTGAATGAGTTAAGATACTGGTGTAAGTTAAGGATAAGGTTACGGAAATCAGTGAAGTTGGTCAGTCAAATCCTCCTCTTCCACTTTTTTTCCAATCACAGGCCACTCTTTTCATTGATTTCCAAATATTTATAAAGCCACACTCAGTTTCTGTAAACCAATAACTAAAAAACCATACCATGATATCTCTTCACTCTCAAAACTGACTAGTTTCTATAGTTGGTAAATATGCTCTGAGATAAGCCTTGCTTCCTGGATTTGTTCAATGCCTCTGTAGGTGAATTCCTTCCCATTTCTTCTTTTCTGTGGGTGCCACCTGCCATAGCCAAACCCGCCTTTACAGAAACCATTGGAAATTGGAGGTAAAATTTATGGAGTAGTGGCAACTAATGGTTTGTTTCTAAACTTTCTTATTTGATCCGACTGAAATATAATAGTATTTGATAGACCACAGGGCATAAAAGTTGGGGAAAATGAGAGATGAAATGATCTCATTTACATCTATTCTTGTCTTTTTCCTCCTCTGTTATTTGCAGGGTACTATTTTGAGGGTCTTGAAATCTGTGATCTTCTTTGGAAGTATTCCCACAGCTTCTCTTCTCTTCTCTGGTTGGTTTTTGGGTTAAGCAAAAAGCACCCATTTGTGATATCTTTGAAAAGCTCGGGGTTATTTTTGGAGGCTATTGAAACAAAGGCAATCTAGATTCCTGATATTCTTCTCTTTCTTCTTCTCTCCTTTTTTGTTCCCAAGAAATAAACTCAGATTTATCTAGTTGCAAAGCAACACAAAACATCATGAAACTGAATAAATGAACATCCCCCTCTCCTTGTATTTTATATGGACTGTGACCTTTTTTCTTCTTCTTAACATTCAAATATTGAATCTTTTTTGCTCCCTTTGTTTTTTTTTTTTCTTCTAGAAACCAAGTCATGGCAGACTGGCATGGAGATTTCAATGAAGAAGAAATGTGGTCTTATGATGGGGAAGAGGAAGATTCAAGCCCCATACCGAGGAAACCTAGGGACTACTCGTCGAGTTCTTCCTCTGCATGGCGGCTCCCAAGCGCACCAAGAAGGATCCCAATTGTTAGCAACGGCAGCAGTTCATCAGCAAAGCATGAAACCAAGATTGTTGAACAATTATCGGCTCCATTGAACATCCCTGATTGGTCCAAGATTTATGGCAAGCACGGAAACATGGATTCATCATCAAGGAAAGGGACATGGGTTGATGATGGTGATGATGACAATGTGGTTTATGATGAAGAGGATGATGATATGGTCCCTCCACATGAATGGCTAGCTAAGAAGCTTGCGAGGAGTCAGATTTCTTCATTTTCGGTTTGTGAAGGTATTGGAAGGACGCTTAAAGGCAGGGACCTCAGCAAAGTAAGGAATGCAGTTTTGACAAGAACAGGTTTCCTCGAGTAGGAATGAATGTCCCACCATTTCATCAACAATTCCACACCAAATCATCGTATCTTCATTTTGCATTTATCATGTTTCGTGTAACCTTTTTGCTTTTATCCACTTTTGCTCGTATTATGTCGTAGCCATGTAATGAAGTTTTGAACTCGAGATTCGAGAACATAGTCTTCATCGGAGCTGCCTTTTTGCATGATTTTTAAAGAATGGTTAAAAACAACGACGAAAGGTGTCAGCCTCCGATTATTTGTCTGGTAGTGGAAAAGGGTTTATGTTCTGGATACAGTTGGAGTGCACTTTTAGCAGGAAGGAGAATTAGTTAATCATTTATCGTCAAAGTTTATCCTTTACGCTTGTTCTTTTCTCTATCATTTAGCATAATAGTTAGTAAAATTTTAGTGTTTTTGTTTTATGGTTAAAATGCAAGATGAGTGGACTCATCGGTAAAGCATCTATGTGACTATACAAACATTATCCTGATCAAATTTGACCTGTTTCTTTCTTTATTAGCCACCGACATTAGTTGCTTGATGCCTGCACTTTTTCATCTGTAGTCTTTTACTGCTATTTTATTTATTTATGTGTTAAATATTTTACAGCGAAGTCTGGATGAACATGTCTTTAGTGCTCAACTACAGCTAAAACTAAAACCAGGGTAAATCAATAGTTGTTTCATGATAATTTGATAGTTGGCAATTGCTTCAACTCCAGACCTTTGTTTCTTCAAACAAGATAAAAAAGTGGAGTTCTATATATGTTCAATGGCATAAACAATTCAGATGGATCCATAGCCATCAGAATCAAGGGCCACCAATACCAAAAGAGTAGGTCCAAAGGCCACCAACCACTTGCATTACAACCCTTCATTTTTTAACATCAGGAGTTCCTATCAGATAAATAAATAAAGAGAAAATCGCCTCAGTGACCAAAAAAAAGTTATAATATACGATTTTAACCAACTTTTTTTGGATTTGCCAAAATGACCAACAAAATCGCAACGCGAAATAAAAATCGCAACGCGATCCCCAGAATCGCAAATCAGTTTCCAGAATCGCAACGCGATTCTTGAAAATCGCGATGCGATAGTACAAATTCGCATTGCGATTTTCCATAATCGCAACGCGAATATGAAAATCGCAACGCGAACACATAAATCGCAACGCGTATCCGTAAATCGCAACGTGTATCCGTAAATCGCAACGCGTATGGGTAAATCGCAATGCGTATCCGTATATCGCAACGCGTATCCGTAAATCGCAACGCGTATCCGTAAACCGCAACGTGTATCCGTAAATCGCAACGCGTATCCGTAAATCGCAATGCGTATCCGTAAATCGCAACGCGTATCCGTAAATCGCAACGATAATCCGTAAATCGCAACGATAATCCGTAAATCGCAACGAGAATCTGTAAATCGCAACGATAATCCGTAAATCGCAACGAGAATCTGTAAATCACAACACTGAAATTTTGGGTATATAACACTGAAATCATAAACTAAATCCCTAAATCGCAACTCATTCCATCTCCATCTATCACTCTCTCCGGCGACATCCGTTCCTATATCCAACGACATCCTTCCCCATCCGGCAACAGGTCTTAGTTTCGCATCTCGTTTGTTTAGTTACAACCATGAAATCATCTAATGTTGATCATGTTTGGATAGATTTGTGTTTTGGAGGGTCATGGGATAATGTTAATGGTGTTTTACAATATATGCCTTTACCCATAAATCTTCAACTAAAATTGTCTTTACAAAAGTTAACTTATGAAACTCTAATGCTACGTGTTTCAAATAAATTGAATTTAGAGCCCCTAAGTGGATTTAGGCTATCTTATCAGAGAAATGGTAAAGTTTATTTGTTAACCGACAATGAAGATGTTGAACGATTCATTGCTTACATTAGTGTTTCACAAGATGATGTTACATTGTATGTTGTTGAACCTAGAAGTAGTATTGTTGGGTCAGTAGCGGGTAGTAATCAACTAAGTTTTTCTCAAAACCCACAACCTTTCTCTAATCCAAATCCCAATCAACTTTCAGCACCAAATTCCGGTTTTCGTATTGACCAGTTAGACGATGATGAGCCAACAGAAAAAATTGTGAGTACTAGTCAGTATTCGAAATTTGGTCTTGGTCAATATCCGGACTTTGATATTGGTCAATACACGGATTTTGATGATGTTTCAGAAGAAGAAACAGACCATGCGTGTAATGATATTGATATTGGTCAATACCCGAATTTTGATGATGAAACAGCCGTTGCCGAAGAATGTAATGTTGATGATAATGAGGAGGAAGTTACGACTGTGAATGAACATGTTGAACATCCATTCTGTAATTCATATAATCCTGAAGAAGAAAAAGAAGAAGAAAAAGTCCCCGAAGAAAAGAAAATGCCACGGGCGTATAACTGGAATATGCCAGAATTACTTCAGATACCGGAAGAAGAGTTGATAAAGAAAGCAGTTGATTGTTACACAAAAGTTATTCGTATCAAGAAAGATGATTGTTTTGATACAAAGGAAGACTTGAAGATAGCTTTATATACGAAATGTGTGGAAGATGGCTATCAACTAAAAGTTAACAAATCAAGCAAAGATCGTTTCGAAACAAGGTGTATGATTGACAAAAACTGTACGTGGCGTATGATTGCAAAGAGAATAAAAGATTGCAAAATGTTTCAAGTTAGGACTTTTATTGATAAACATACATGTTCAAGAACCCAAGTTTTTCCTCACCATAGACAGGCAAACAAAAAGGTGTTGGGTGGTTTTCTGGCTGAGTTAATGTTTTTGAATGGCAGGGTATATCGGGGACATGAAATTATGACTGACATGAATGCTCGGTTCAAGATTAGTATATCATATTCTCAAGCTTGGAGAGCCAAATGTTATGCCTTGGAATTGTTGAGGGGGTCGCCAGAAGCATCGTTTGCCCAACTGCCGGCTTATTGTCACAATTTAAAGCTGAAAAATCCTGGGTCGGTAACTCATATCAAAACAGATAGAGATGGACGCTTTGAGTTGCTGTTTATCGCCATTGGTGCTACGGTTAGTAAATCAATATAATTTTGTTGACTCATTTTTGTTAGTTACATGCATTTCACATTTAAATGATTATATTTCTTGTGTATATTATTTTGTAGATTCGTTCGTTTATTACTTGCATGCGCCCAGTTATTATAGTTGACGGAGCACATTTGAAAGGTCGATACCTTGGAGTAAACTTATTAGCAGTAGCCATGGATGCTAACAATGGGATATTGCCAATAGCTTACGGGGTTGGCAAATCTGAAACCTCTGATTCATGGACATGGTTTATGGGGCATCTTAGGGATTGCATAGGTCCTATTAGCAATCTGACAATCATATCCGATAGGGCAAACTCAATTGACAACGCTGTTAGAAGGTGTTTCCCAGATGCTTTTCATGGACTTTGTGGTGTTCATTTGTATAGAAATCTAAAATCAAGGTCTGCTGGTATAAAAAAGCACAAATGGACATACTGGAAGGCTGTAAAAGCTTATCGGGAAGTGGATTTCAATAAGCATATAAATTGTTTAAGACGTGTTTTGCCTCAGTGTGCTCAAACACTAGAAGATGTCGGGTTTGAAAGATGGTCAAGAGTACATCAACTTGGAGCAAGATATGGTTTCATGACGTCTAATAGTGCAGAATCAATCAACGCTCTAAGTCGTCATTCCCGGAAATTACCCATTACTATGTTAATGGAGTTTTTTCGAGCCTCTATTCAACAGTGGTACTACAAGAAAAGAAACCATGCAGGTATTATTTCTTTGAATTCGTAACTTATCATATTTATATATTTTACTAAGTATTGTTTATTTAAATTTACAGGAACATTGGAACATCGTGTTACACCATGGACTGAAAAAAAGATAACGAAACGTGTTGTGAAGTCAACGTCATGGAGAGTTGAACCATGTTCAAACACTTTGTTTCAAGTACTGGATAATAACTTAAATGGGCTAGTCGATCTAAATGCAAAGACGTGTAGTTGTATGAAATGGCAAACATCTGGTTATCCGTGTGGCCATGTTATAAAAGTTGCTCTTCATTTAAACCAAGATGATTCAAGCGCATACGCTATGGATTGCTACACTACAGAAGTTTATCGACAGACTTATGCCGAGATTGTCTACCCTATTCCACATCCTTCTGAGTGGGACATACCAGATGACTTACAAACAGTTTTGCCACCAGCCATGGACAGAAGGCTACCTGGCCGACCAAAAAGTCACGATCGTATACCGTCTAAGGGTGAAGAGAAGAAGAGATCGACATGTAGTCGGTGCAAGGAAAGTGGTCATACAAGGTTGACATGTGGATCACCAGTGCCATCAAAATCATCTTTTCCTCTACCAAAATATGGATCCTCATCAAAATCCAAAGCTCATATGGTGTGAACTTTGTATTATGTAAACGTTGTTATTCAGTTGTATTATGTAAACGTTTTAACATTTAACATTTTATGTGTATTATGTAAACGTTGCCATCAAAAGCTCATATGCAAACGTTGTATTATGTGGATTTTATGTGTGAACTTTTAACATTTTCAGTTGAATTAATGACTCAGGCCAACCATTTTGACTTAACCAACTCTTGTTATTCAGTTGTTATCACTATTAGGCATGCATTTGACTATCGCAACACGGAAAATACAATCGCAACGCGAAATGAAAATCCCAACATGAAAATCGCAATGCGGAAATGAAAATCGCAACGAGAGAATCGCAATGCGAAATGAAAATCGCAATGCGAAATGAAAATCGCAACGAGAGAATCGCAATGCGAAATGAAAATCGCAATGCGAAATGAAAATCGAACCGACATAATCGCAATGCGAAATTAAAATCGCAATACGAAATGAAAATCGCAATGCGAAATGAAAATCGCAATGCGAAATGAAAATCGCAACGAAAGAATCGCAATGCGAAATGAAAATCGCAATGCGAAATGAAAATCGCAACGAGATAATCGCAATGCGAAATTATAAACGCATTGCGATTTTCATTTCCGCATTGCGATTTTCATTTCGCATTGCGATTCTCTCGTTGCGATTTTCATTTCGCATTGCGATTTTCATTTCGCATTGCGATAGTCATTTTTGCCTTCAACATAATGCAGATTGAAATCAACAAAATCAACCATTACATTTCAATCAATTAAACAAGCACAAATAAGAATTATGTTCGCATCAATTACACAAATCAACTTTTACAAATCATCTTTTACAAATCAATTAAACAATCAAAAATTGAATCAACTTTTACAAAT